GAGGGTTTAGAAACCAATTTAATTAAATGAGATTTAAAAAAAAAAATGTATACTATAATAAAATATATAAAACTTATAAACTGGTAAGATGTTTAGAAGAAATAAACTAATATTATAAACCATTATTTTAAAAGTTTTGGGAGGGTAGATTTGATTTTTTTTTTTTTTTTTTTTTCTGTTGAACTCTTTTGAGTTAAGATGCATTAAATTTAATTAATTTTAACAGTAAAGACATTTATATTGCTACAAAACATCAATTTGTAAATAAATTCTATTCTTTTGAACTTTATATAAATCAATCCTGGAAACGGTTTCCACAAAAATGTTAAGCAGCATCACTTTTTTTGATTATTAGACATGTTTTTTTTAGCACTGGATGTTTCTGATCATTTGACTCGAGTAGCTAATAGCTGCTGAAAATTAAGCTCTGATCACAGGATTAATTATTAGGCCTATATATATTTATTTATTTATTTATTTATTTTTAGACTTTTTTCAGATTTTTCAGACTTCTGAATGGTAGTGTGCTTGTAAATCACACCAGATGGCCAAGTGAGGTTTGTTCTGTTATCAGATTGTAGTTTTCAAAGCAAGTAAAATTTGCATTTACGGACATTGTAGCCTATTTTGCACTAAGTGAGTGATCTCTTCGGGATCAAATTGTCTACAGGTTAGCATTAAAACGTGAATAACAGCAAGGCGTTTTTCTTATCTCTCTTTATTTGAATAAACCTTTTGTTTGACTTTGTTTAGTTTCTGGTATAAATAGGATTTGATACCCAGGGGCAAACAAGTGTAGTTTTTTATTACATGTTCCCGGGAGCACTCACATTGTCAAATTCTAAACTAGGCTACTTCCAATTCCCTAAGGACTCTACTCTAAGACATTCATTTAGGCTACAACATAATGTGGCTTTCTTTCAACATGAGGGTTTTAGAACTGAATGTTCTCTGCAAAGATTTGGTTGGAACTCCTATAAGACCCTTTGAGATTTTTACTCAGGTCACTAAATTCAGACCTACTAGCCGTTAAAACGTAACCTTGAGGGGGAAAAGTGCCTCACGGGGAGAATGCCACACAAAGTATTTGAAACAATCCCTTATAACGTTATCTCAAATCATTATAAAAACGAAAAATTTTGCAATTAATTCAGCAGAGTTCGACGTTTCACTTTGAATATTATCTATAGGCTATTATTGAATGGACGATCTCATCTCGCGAACTTCTTCATCTGTATCATGAAGTTTGTCCTGAATACAGTTCTACTTTCCAGACCATAAATGTAAAAATAAAACAGTTTTGGCAGTTTTTATTTATTTTTTTCTCTTAAACGCTAAACGAAAATTGTTTCTGTGACAAAACACGTCAATATTTAAGTCTTGTTCAGTTTATGATTGATCATTTAGCATTTTTTAATGGCCGTTAATTGTTTTTATCTTTTCTTGTGTGTATGGTTTATCGCCTAATCCCTACTTTATGAAGACAAAATGTCCTTCTGTGGGGAATCTTTTTACGTAAACAGTTAAAAAACCATAGCCTACCAAGTGATTTATTTTTTATTTATTTATTTTTTTTTATGTAAAAATGCAGAAACTTTTCTTGGATGGGTATATGGGCTTAGGGGCTGTAAGAATATGCTACAGTTTGTACAGTAGGCTACAAAATAACTCTCCCTGTTGTTGACTTTCCATAAAACATGAAAACTCAACAGAGAGAGTGTTTGTGTATGTGTGTGGGCGCGCTCTCTTCCCTAAAACAAGACAGACTGGGACAGCACAGCCTTATTTCTGCCAGATCTACACAAACAAAATAAAGATAATTTCTGTAATCTGTTATTATATTGGACCAGTATTAGGGGTAACGTATTAAAATAACACGAGTTATGTAATCAGATTACTTTTTTCAAGTTGGCTAACCCAGTAAAGTAATGCATACTTTTAAATTTACAGGCATGAATTTGCATTTCCTTCAGCCCAAGGCATATTAATTACACATTTAGCATGAAAGGGACTTTACATTTGCCAAAAATATAACTTTTTGAATGTGCTAAACATGATCAGTTACTTTTTAAGGAAGAAATGTAATTTGAGGTTGTTGTTTTTTTAAGATTTTCAAATGAGAAATACGGTTGATATGAGAAAATGATCAGCATTGGATTCCTCATTGTGAATTTTAGTGAAGTAGTGAATGGAGTCGTATTCTCTTGGTTTAGGATTGCAAGCTGAATTATTTAGCCCTGAATGGCTCTCCAGTGTCCATTTCAGTCCTTTGTGATAGAATTTGATTATAGGTTTTTACAGCCAAAAACTATCAAGGACAGGCCGATCTGAATTTGTTTAAAGACTTCAAATATAATCCGTTCCTTTGTATGTCACACCCAGAGAATCATTCAAATGTGTTTTTTGTTGTCAGTGAAGCCCTATACCCTTGGTAGCAGCTTTGTATGTTTGCGCTTTCCTTGTATTTGTGGGAAGTTATGACGTTGGTGTTCTCTTCGCCGCTGTGTAACCCCTGTGGGCTTTAGGCCAGGCGACTCATGGCGGTTTATCACTAATTAACATTCATGCACACAAGCATGCAGTGTTTCCCACGTTACCCATCTGCATTCCAGCCATGTCGCGCTTACACTGCCTGGCACTGGCATGATGTGTGTGTCCGCATGTGTGGATGCAGACAATGTCCTGAGTGTTTAAGACCAGTCAAAAGGAGATTCAGATTAACAGAAAAATCTTGTTCTAAACACTAAGAGACATTGAGAATTGGGGGGAAATAACGAGAATGGATTGAGTGATGTCACTCAAGATGAATGCAAAGATATAAAAAAATAATGTCTCAAACGAGGAGAGAGAAATGTATTTAAAGTTGGCATGAAACAGGAATTGTGGTATGTGCTGGGCAAAGATTAATCGTGATTAATCATACAATTTATATGAGTGTGTATGTGTATAATTATTTTGTATATATAAATACACACACATGCATGTGTGTTATTCATATAAAATATTTATATATAATATACACTCAGGAACACCTGTTTCTCATTAATGCAATTATCTAAAGAACCAATCACATGGCAGTTGCTTCAATGCAATTAGGGGTGTGGTCCTGGTCAAGACAATCTCCTGAACTCCAAACTGAATGTCAGAATGGGAAAGAAAGGTGATTTAAGCAATTTTGAGCGTGGCGTGATCGTTGGTGCCAGACGGGCCGGTCTGAGAATTTCACAATCTGCTCAGTTACTGGGATTTTCACGCTCAACCATTTCTAGGGTTTACAAAGAATGGTGTGAAAAGGGAAAAACATCCCGTATGCGGCAGTCCTGTGGGCGGAAATGCCTTGTTGATGCTAGAGGTCAGAGGAGAATGGGCCGACTGATTCAAGCTGATAGAAGAGCAACTTTGACTGAAATAACCACTCGTTACAACCGAGGTATTCAGCAAAGCATTTGTGAAGCCACAACACGCACAACCTTGAGACGGATGGGAAATACCCCACCGGGTATTTTTAAAAGAGGCGACAATTTGCAAGAGCTCACCAAAATTGGACAGTTGATAACTGGAAAAATGTTGCCTGGTCTGATGAGTCTCGATTTCTGTTGAGACATTCAGATGGTAGAGTCAGAATTTGGCGTGAACAGAATGAGAACATGGATCCATCATGCCTTGTTACCACTGTGCAGGCTGGTGGTGGTGGTTTAATGGTGTGGGGGATGTTTTCTTGGCACACTTTAGGCCCCTTAGTGCCGATTGGGCATTGTTTAAATGCCACGGAGCATAGTTTCTGACCATGTCCATCCCTTTATGGCCACCATGTACCCATCCTCTGATGGCTACTTCAAGCAGGATAATGCACCATATGGCACAAAGCTCGAATCATTTCAAATTGTTAAACCGTTAAACATTTTGGGGTCGGTAAGGTTATCTTCATCTTAAAAGGATACATTAAATCGATCAAAATTGACAGTAAATATTTATAATTTTTACAAAAGGCTTTCTATTTCAAACAAAAGCTCTTACTTTGAAATGTATCTCTAAACTCTTTATACACTATGAAAAAAGATTTATTAGCCTATAAAAAGCTGTAGCATTGTCAAAAGATCAATAAACATGAAATATTTGCATACTGTATGACAGTCAACACATTTCAAAAGACCCACACCTTAAGTCCTTCAACCCTGTGGATAACTAAATGTACTCTATAGGAGCCTCGGTGTCAGTTCCTTAAAAAAAAACACCTCACAAATTTGGATAGTGTGGAAAAAATCATGGGATTTAGGACATGGCACGTAAACAACCTTAATTGAACTTGCTGGATAATGTCAAGTGCTTTTGTTTAATTAAATCTGGCATTCTAGCTGTTTACCTAAACCACCTGGAACAAATCTCTGTATGGAAACTCATATTGCAAGGGATAAGAGATAAGAATGGATTCTTTCCATTGGTCACTAAAGTAAACAAAGGCACATTATTCAGCAAGTTGTCAAAAGTTCTTCCTGGGCTCATCTAATACCTCCTATGGGAGTTTCTATAGAGATATGTGCACAGGTCACTAAAGTTCACATGAAACTACTAACCGATCATGTAAAAGAATACTCTTAACCATCAAATCCATTCATATCCAAACAATCTTTAAGAATCATCTGTGCATTAATAAGTTTGTGTGTCTCTCGATTTTAAAATCATTTCTGTGTCAGTGATTTTTGTGCAGTTTCACTTTGTAATCAGACCGGATCCATGCTAAAATTGTGTTTTTGTTACTTGGACGTAAAGCTGAGCAAGCATGTTCAGTTTGGAACTGAAGTTTGCAGCCGAATACCTGGAATGTTGCATCGGCCCCTCTCATGCATTAAACTAGCAACTTTCACACTTCAAACTAGCAATCTGTTCTCAATAGCTCTCTATTTCCACCTTGAATAGATCCCTCCTCCTTTCTTTAGTTCCTTACCCTTCCTCTAACTCATTTTCTCTCCCAGACCGTTTTGAATCTCTCCCTCTCATATTATTTTCTCTCTTTCTCTCCCTCACTTCTTCTTCCACTGTTCTCTGCTGTACCTTCATTCACATTTGCAAACACACACACACACACACAGAGTGACAAGTGGAGGTCCCCAGACGCTGGTCTTGCGTCACAGGAGCATAGCCGAGCCTCTTTTGTGTTCAGTTTAGCCAGCTCAGCTGTACACTGTGCAGACAGAGAAGGAGAGGAGAGGCGGGGGCTTCAAAATCACCAGGTGTGTGTGTGTGTGTGTATGTGTGTGTGTGTGTGTGTTCTGCAGGGTGAATGATCGCCTGGATATTTCACATACGATCTCCTAACCTTGGATTGCACGTCTGGACAGTTAACTGAGAAGGAATCAATGGTTTTTCCAGTCTTGACCCTTCATCTTTCTTCACAAAATCGATTCAGAGTCATTGCCTTTTTCTGCCAATCAAGCTGTGACAGGGATATCTACATGATTTGGTAAGATGTTAACCTAATGCTTTATATTTAATCTTCAGTATACATTATATTGGGAGAATATATAATATTATTGACTGCAGTGTCTAACTCACTGTAAACATCAGTATCAATTGATAAATTTGGTTGTCGATTTTTTTTGTATTATTTAAAAAATCTATTTTAAACATCCACATAACTAAAAAAATATATATATATATTTTAAATTTAATTTTATAAAATAAAATGTTTTCGTGATTTAAGCATACACCTCACCAAATTGTATTGTATTTATTGACCATGGTGGGAAAAATACATTTAAATCCATATATTTAATGAAAGTCTTAATAGTTGATGCAGTTTAGCTAAAGTAAATTTAGCTTGTTTATGGATTTTTAGATGTTTTTACTGTTTTCCAATACCAGATATTTTATTATTATGATGTAGATAAAATAATGTGCAGATGGAATGTAATCAGTGGCATTCCTAAATGTTCCTCTCTAATCAGACTGCTTAATTTTAGCAGTTCTTTATTTATTATATTTGTAGCATCATTAAACTTTGTTATACAGTGACTTCTTGTCTGTTGCAATTCAAGTTTTGCCAAGAATTTGCCAGATGCACTTTTCTTTGTTAAAACAGAAATTAATGCAGAAATTATTTACAGTATAATCTCCCAGTTTTCAGGTCCATTTTTCTGAACTCCCATGAGTAAATACAACATTTAACATATCCAAAGACTTTTATACACTGTACTGATATATCTCACAAACACAAAATCCCCCCCCCCCCCAAAAAAAAAAAAAAAAAAAAAAAAAAAACTAACTGGTGATGCATTTATGAGTTTTACCCTAAATTGGGAGATGCAGCTGTAGCAATTCTTTGTGGTTCAGTAAAGTCCTCATTATTCGAATCGTGACCATCAGCATAACAATGATGATGTTGTTAGTGTTTTTGTTTTTTTCTGTCAACAAAGGATGACTTTGAAAAATGCAGGGTTAGAGATTGCTGCAAATAAGAACAATGGGTTCCTTCAGACTACTTCTAGATTTCTAGTCACTGCTGGTGCTTTGTTTGGTGACCGTGCACAGCAGCATATGGCTGTCGCAGTCGGTGCTTCTAAAATGTTGTCTTGGTAGTATTAAGTGTTACTGCACCGCAAATAACTGATACTGGCCTATGGGACACGAAGAGATGTGGTCAGTGTCACTTTTCTTCTGAATGCATAATTCATTCGCTAGACAGCTGGCCCCCATTATGAACCCTGCAGTACCACGGTCTCACTCTCAACAAGTTGTCATTCATCTCAGGATCAGAATATCAAAGAAATTTCATGGTTGTATTCGGAAAATGCATTTTAATATCATACACAGCATGGTTCTGTGTTTTATTGTGTCAAGCATGCCCATAGCACTACTTAAAACATAGGCTACAATATTATATGGTGGCAAATTTATTTAAACATACATTAAATAATCAAAACATTAACAGGTTAAGTGAATATAATGAATATAGTGCATATACAAAATGCTTCTCAGTTCACTAGAGAACGACAATAATGCCTGAGGGGAATGTAATGCTACGTGAGATAGGCATACTATTCTCAAGCTGTTATCGATATTTCCGCAGTAGAAACACTGTTGAGAGATGTATGTAAACATACCAATCTATCGTCTCTTCTTCTTCTTCTGCATTTTTTACTGGTTGCAAGCAGCGTTGCATTGACGTGCACGGTCTAGCATTTCAATGGTCGATAGTGAAAATTTGAAGCACTCGTGTTGATTTTTTTTTTTTTGATAGTTTTTGCTGTTTATATACAGTTTTTCTTCACGTGAACTTTAAGATAAAATACATTTAAAATGATCGAATAATTAGTAATAAAATCTAAAATTATTATGTATTTGTTATTTACTTATTTGATGTAATCAGCGAGATAATTAGGCCTACTGTCAGATGATGAGCAGCAATATGACAGATTACTTGAAATAATTGTATATTTAGAAAAACATTTTTAACTGTTGACCCATTTCTGTTTTTTATTTATTTTATTTTTTTTATAAAGC